CACCGAGCATGACTCACGCACCGAGCATGACTCACGCACCGAGCATGACTCACTCACCGAGCATGACTCACGCACCGAGCATGACTCACGCACCGAGCATGACTCACGCACCGAGCATGACTCACGCACCGAGCATGACTCACTCACCGAGCATGACTCACGCACCGAGCATGACTCACGCACCGAGCATGACTCAGGCGGTCAACATTGGAAGGCCACATTGCCAGATCTGTCGCTATGTTCAGCAATGCAATTTGCCAAGTAGTCGATCATTTTGCAAAGAATTGATTTGGACTTCAGATTATTTTTTTTAGATTATTTTTAGATTATTTTAAATTATTTTAGTAATTTTGTCTGAGTCTTATCGCCTTAAATAAGCTTTGAGATTTTTGCTTTTTTCGTTACTTTCTAACGAATTTTACTCTAGAAATGAATAACTATCGATCAAGCAAAACAGTAATAGCGCAATAAGATAACAATTCTTCACCTCAAATAAAATGATTGAAATGTGCATCAGAAAAAATAAAAATTAGAATTTTAGAAAAAAATTGATTATAGATTATATCTATTCAAGATTTTCTTTTGTCACGACGAAAATTCTCTATCCTGAGCCTCTTCATGAACCTTGCCACTAAACTACGTTGTTGAACAATTGTCATGTTTAATACTTGTGAATAATGGATATATTTTCAGAAGCCCAAATATCATCTTTCTATTTCTGCTATTGGCCTGCGATGAATCATCCTCTCAGCACCAAACCATTTTTCTGCCACATTTATTTTCTTTATTTTTTATATTTTCACAGCCAACTTTGTAGGTTCCTTCTATTGGAGCGCAGCTCGTCTCTCCGTTGTGATCTACACTTGTATCAATGAGACGGCAAATAAAAAAAATCCCGTCTCATGGATGCGACGTTGAACGTTGTCAAAATTGAAGTCTCCGTGCAGATCGTGCTGGGCATTCTGCCTTGAACTTATTGGCGAATATTTACGAAAAATAAATTAAAACACTGCCAGTATTCATCGAATAGGGCGAATATAGTGGAAATATAAATTGAAATATTGCCTATTTTCATCGAATAAGCGCCCAATGAGCCTCAACATTTTTTCCGGCTTCCTCATTAAACTTGCCTCAGCAAATCACAAATATTTTACTTTAGAATCAACATCTCTTTTTCATAAAATTGAAATCACCATAGAATTAAATTGTTTACCTACACAAAGTTTAGTCACTTACATTTTTAGAATTTATCGCCTGAAACCAAACTTTTTGTCAATTAAAAGTCGTTCTACGTCAGGAACCGTGCAGAGCGTTCATTATATAATGAGAAAATAATTTATTTATATATATGCTAATTTATACAGTAATTTAATACAGTAGCGGTCATAGACAGGACAAATCGACTGAACGTTGTTTTCACCTGATACTGGCCACACTTTTAAACGTTTCATCAATTGTGTATCCACTGTAAAACTTTCAAACATCTTTAGCAGGCTCGACTGACAGTAAAAAAGTAGCAATAGAGTATAACGGAAGACTCTATTAGAATTGGTTTTTGTTAAATTGCCTTCCATTTGAATTATTTTCTTATAAATGTTGTTTAAGTCCTATTCATAGATGTATTTCATAATCAAGAACATTTAAGAATTCCTCTTTTAACACTGAAAAAGATTTTTACCTTAAAAAAACTGCCTTTTAGAAATAAATTAGAGACTAGAGAAGAAAATTACCAACGGGTAATATATGTGTAATAATATAATATAATAAATTTTTACATAATATAATACATATTATGATATAATATGTATATAATTAATATAATACATATTAATTATTTACATATTAATAAAACTATATAATATTATAATAATATATAATAATATAATTAATTATATACATAATATAATACATAATATATTACATATTATTTACACATAATATAATAAATTTTTCTTTAATGACTTTAATTTTTATTTTTTTGTAATAAATTTTTCTTTTTCAATTTTTTGCAATGTTTGTCTATTTGAAGTTAGCAGTTGTGATATCTTAGAATTAATTTAGTCAATGATATAGTAAATTTTTAGTTAGTAATAATAACTTTTGCCACAATTTCCTCTGCAGAAACTGTAGTGAAGTTAACCAGTGTATGTTGGCGATAACTCGGCGCACCATCGACATCACTGTAGGTTGTTTTAGCCAATTTCAAATCTTTCTAAACCTACGACAGCAGTGAGTCAGTCTACAGCAAATACGAAGAGTGTGGCCAGCTGTACTTATGTGTACAGCACTCCCACTCAACTTTTGTTTCAGGTACTTTGTCAGGTTTTCAGATATCTTTAATTCCATGAACATGTACAGAGCAAGGGGACTTGAACACAGAAATACAGAGCAAAAGGACTTAAACACAGAATTACATAGCAAGGGGATTTAAACACAGAATTTCAGAGCAAGGGGACTTGAACACAGAAGTACAGAGCAAAAGGACTTAAACACAGAATTACATAGCAAGGGGATTTAAACACAGAATTTCAGAGCAAGGGGACTTGAACACAGAAGTAGAGAGCAAAAGGACTTGAACACAGAATTACAGAGCAAGGGGATTTGAACACAGAATTTCAGAGCAAGGGGACTTGAACACAGAAGTACGGAGCAAGGGGACTTGAAAACAGGACAGAGCAAGGGGACTTGAACACAGAAGAACAGAGCAAGGGGACTTGAACACAGAAGTACAGAGCAAGGGGACTTGAACACAGAAGAACAGAGCAAGGGGACTTGAACACA